CAGCTCGAACCCAGCTCTCAGGCATGCTTGGTAAACATGCACGGGCCCGTGAAAATTTTGTTCCACGGAAGCTAGAAAGCAGAAATTTTAGGGGAATGTTTCCTGACAGTTCTGGCGGCCAGTCTTAATTTGTTTAGCTAAAAGCATTTGCCGAAAAAACGGGTGCCGGTAGCAACAAAAACTGCGGGGAACCATGTAAAAAACACATCTTCACACGGGCAGCCCGTGCGTTGGCCAATTATTATTGATTGACAACTTATCTTCTGCACTGTTAGAGGAGCAGATATGAATGATCTCTCTTCTTAATATGGTTGAGCAAGTGTTTTAGGTAATTGTATGTTTTAGAACGAGCTAGATCGTGTTGTAATCAACTCAATTCGCTCAGCACAGAACATATCGCAGAGCTTCTCGTACTGTATCCAGCTTTGTGACAGCGATTCTGATTCAAGCACCGATTTAGGAGCAGCCACACTACCTGCTCGCATTGATTCATTTATAAAGCGTATTGGAAGATATGTCTTCCCGCAGGTATCTACTTCACTTTTGCGTTTACGGAGACAATCTTGTTTCCCTTCCGGCACTTCGAGTAGCTGTTTATTTTTATGCGTTTTATGTTGCAGCAATTGTATATTATTGGCGACGCGCACTGGGGGGCCCCGTGCAATCATGCGTTTTTGCAGTGCTTCGTGCTGTAATAAGATTACTGGAAGTTCCGCTAGCTAGAAACCTCTTGTACATACTGGTCCTCGAATTTCGGGAACTTAATTATCCACCTGTAGTTGGGCAGAGAACATTCCCTTGAAGTCCCAGGTTCCCAGCTTTCTCAGTTCCCAAGTTACCGAAATTGCAGCTAAAAGATTTCACGGGGCCGTGTGCAGCCACCACGCATAACGGAGAGCTGAATTTGATAAATTCAAGTTGTAGATGAGTTGAGAACATTTCCTGAAAGTTTCAGCGTCCCAGCTTCCCTGGTTCTGAAGTATTCATTTTCCCGCCAAAAATACTCACAGGGCCGTAGTGGCAGCCCCGCACACTGAAGGGCTGAATTTGATAAATTGCAGTTGTAGATGAGTGGGGAACATTTTCTAAAAATCTCATCCTCCCAGCTTCCCTGGTCCTGGAGTCATTCATTTTCCTGCCAAAAATTTTCACGAGGCCATACGTGGCAGCCACGCGTGGGGGCGGGGGGCTGAATTTGACAAGTTGAAGTTGTAGATGAGTAGGAAACATTTCCTAAAAATTCCGGCCCTCCAGCTTTTCTGGTGCTGGAGTTATTCATTTCCCCGCTAAGAATTTTCATGGGGCCGTACGTGGCAACCACGCATGGTGGGAACTGAATTTGATAAATCGAAGTTGTAGATGAGTAGGGAACATCTTATGAAACTTTCAGCCTCCCAGCCTTCCCGGTTCCCGAGCTAACGATTTTCGCGCCAGGAAT